GTGCGGCGCAACGCAAGCAAACTCACTGGTTACGCTATCTTTGATGGAAGCAGGATGAGCGCCGGATTGTAGCACCATTCTAGCCGCACCTTGCATGGCTGCGTGCGCGTTAGACAAGTAGGAAAGTGTGCCATTTGATGGAGAAGGAGAGAGAGAAAAAGCAAATGCAAAAGACGTTGAGTTGTGCGGATCGTCTGTCTGGCTTATCAAGCAAACGCCGAATCCCCCCCACCAGCGCGCTTCTCCCACGTGACTCACACTGAGCAGCCAACTCCAAGGCTTCCTTTCTAGGCAAACCCATCATCACACCGCCATCCGCCATGGCTTCCAAAAAGACGCAAGCGAATGCAGGTCCGCTACCAGCCAATGCCGTCGCAGCATCAAAGTGCTTCTCGTCCAAGAACCTGCACTTGCCTATCGCGTTGAAGATGCTCAAGAGACGCGAGCGAGAGCGAGAGTGGGCGTGCGAAGTGGAGGAGGAGGAGGAGGAGGAGGAGAGGGATGGTAAGGGAGTGAGGACGGTCATGCCTTCCCTGATCTGGCGAGGGGAAATGCAAAGGGACGCGTCGCGTAAATGGGAGACCAACTTGCTGCTGCTGCTGCTGCTGCTGCTGCTGCTCGTCGCGCGCCCGCGCTCCCGCGCTGCTGCTCACCTTGCTGGGCGTATTGGGCATGGCCCTGACGACGGTGGAAGTGGGATGAAGAGAATGTGCAATCTGTTGTATTCTCAAACCCGCACAAATGCTAATCACCAATTTGCCCTTCAACGCATCCCGCATGCCCTCCTCTCGCAGGATATCCGCCACCATGTGAGGCTTGCAAGCCAACAACACCACATCGCATCGTTGCGCTGCCAAGACGTTATCGCCCGCGACGACACGCACGCTCCCCTCGCCCTCTTCCTTTGCAAACACGCTCTTCAAGCGACGTGCACTTTCCTGTCGCGCCACACAAGCATAGAACGTGCCAGGCAAGTACTTCAACTCCATCCTTTTCCTTCTCCTCTCCTCCTCCTCCTCCTCTCCCTCTTCCTCGCCCAACAAATCAGCAACGCTCTCCGATAAAGCTTCGTTGGCAAAGTCTGCCCCAGAGCCAGACTGAGAGACAGACTGAGACTGCACTTGAGATTGCAGTAGAGCAGCTGCGGCAAAGGCTTTGGAGGAGGCTAGAATACCGCTCAGGATGGCAATGCCCATCGTTCCGCAACCTACGATCCCCAACGTGTAAGGTGGACCTGCACTGCCTGCACCTGCGCACTCGGCCACGGATGATGGGGATGGGCTTTGCGATGTGATGCTGCTCGACATGGTGTCTTGATGCAGCGGATGCAGACGAGTGCGGGGGGGAGAGATGGTGTGAGGTTGAGGTGAGGTGCAAGCTGCGATGATTGAAAGGCGGTCGGCGGAAATATAATCGTGAATACCAAACGGTGCGCAAGGCTGTATGGACAACACGACTGTTGTGTATTGCACAGCAGGCTTTTGGAAGAGTGTGCAAAGGGATGTGAAAGGGGTTGTGCTGCGCGTCGGGAATCACGAATGTTGGCCAGAAGGCAAAAGTCGCAAAAGGGCAGCTCAGCTCAGCTCCCTTCAACAGTTATTGATGAGTCTGATGAGTCTGAGTCACGAGTCACGAGTCACGAGTCACGAGTCACGAGTCACGAGTCACGAGTCACGAGTCACGAGTCACGAGTCACGCGTTCCAGGTTTTCCATTTCAAATTTGATTCTTTTTCAAATACAATCACGAATAAGACTTCAATCTTTTCCATTTCTTTGCTTTCAATTCGAAAGATCGATCACGTGACACTCTGCGCGCGTTTGCGGGTTGCGTGCGTTGGCGCAGAAGTCACATACATGGCCTGCATTTCGCCCTTCGCCCTTCGCCCAAACCCTCCACCCAAACCCAAACCCTGCAGCCCGATCGGGGGAGCAAGCGTTGTGCTGAATGGCCATCCAACACTCGCCACTCGCGACGCTCGCTGCCTTTCTCTCTCTTTTGCGCTCACATCCCGCACCCGCCGCCCACGCAAGAGATCGATCGATCGATCGATCAGCGTTCTCTATTTGTTGTTGTTGTTGTTGCTGCTGCTGCTGCTGCTGCTGC